GAGCTCTTGCGGGCAAGTGCAGCCAGTCCTTTCACGGTTACAAGATGTATGCCATGCCGATGGAATGGTTTGACGTGCTTTCTCTGCGTTGCTCTGACGGAAGGTTTCGCTTCAGAGTTCAGAGCCTCAAGGCCGAGTGGCCGCGACTTGGGCATCGAGCGAGTCAAGGGAGCTCTCAACGACCTCCATGAAGCCGAAAACCTCGCAGTCCGATACGCGCCTGATAAAAACTTGCATAACGCCTGAAGAGGTACTGCGAGAGAGGGCTAGAAAGAAAGAGAGAGAGAAAGAGAGAGAAAAAAAAAGCGACAGGCAAACGGAGCGATGTGCGAGCATTCATGTTTACCAGCAGAACACACTCAGCATCTAGCCTTCACATGCATACACGCAAACATGTATACATGCACAGACACACACACACACACATACATAGACATACACATCCATGCATGCGCACATACATACATGCTGCGCGTGTGCATCTCTTAGCTCAGTGTATGGTAAGGTCGCTTTATGAAAACCTCTCTCTTGCCAACATCCCGGCCTCGCGGAGTCCAGGGACTTGCGTCAACAAAGACGGCAGGAACTGCCCTGTCTTCCCAAGACCTGGGCGATGCAGCGACAGAACCAAGCACTCTTCGACAAAGAGGCTGAGCTTTGAACCTGGGATCTCTTCCACGAACTTTTCCAAAGGAACGGCCTGCAGGCTTCAGCACCACCAGCAACATTCCAGCTGATCTCGAAACGAGCCTGGCCACTTTGGCTCATCTGCTGATGGACTCTCTTCAGCACCTGCGTGGGGTCTGGAAGCCCGAAGATTGGAAGCTTCCTTTTTTTGACGCTCTGTCTTACCACAGCACGCCATGAAACTGCAGGCTGCATTTTCGACATCAGAATCGTCTCGTGCCCTCTGTGCTGAGGAAGTCCCTGGCAGGCCGCAAGCCGCAAGGGTCTTTTCCGCGAAAACTCAGAAGGTCTGCGCTGCAGACTAAAAGTGAGGCCTGCCGCTCTCATAGGCTTGGAAGAAGCCGCCGAGCTCCTGCGGAGTACGCGACACGCACAGCAGCTAAGGTGAGGACTGATAAGGATGCAGTCTGAAGTCGCCTTTGACGGAGCTGCTTTGCTGGGTGGAGCTTCTTGAGCCAATGTCCATGATGAAGGCCTTGTATTGCTCGATCAGCTGCATCCGTGGATACGGAAATGCCCGAGGCCAGCACTCCTCGGCGTCCTCCAACATGAGCCAACTTTGGAAGACACCCAAATTGCGACCTCGCGACAAAGTCCTGTGCAGGCCTGTGCAGCCTTGAGCCCTTAACATCAGCCAAATCCCACTTCCCCAAATCGGAACCCTTCCGCAATCGATATCTGACCGCGTCAACATCGACCGTCGAACCGATGATGGCGAGACATGCAGGGGTGCATTAGGCTTGTGACCTTCTGCATATTCCACTTGTAGACCACCTTCCCTATGCGCAGGAAGCGCTGCCCCGGACCAGTCGTCCTGAAGGGCTTCTCGCATAATGGCATAGCAGCCATGGCGTAACTTGCCGGTTGCCACGTCTGAGCCGCAGACTGCTGCAAAGCCTGCGTCCGTCGGCTCCTGGCTCACGCAGCATCAGAGGAGACATTGACATGATTTCAACGAACCCATACGAACCCTGGGTCCCTCGCACTCCGGCGTCGAAGCAGTTCCCCCACAGTTTCTGGGAGAACAATGACCCAGCGGACCTCGATGGACCGACAGACAGGATGAGCCAAACACAACTGGCAACGACAAAGCGAGGCCGGTGGAGGCTGCGGATTCTATGGCAGAATAAACTCAAAAGAGGCCCCTGAGCCCTCCTGAGACCAAGGCTTTGCCGGGGAAGTGATGCAGGGCGTTGCGGAGGGCCAATCGACTCGCTGCCTTGCGAAAACTCCGGAGACCGACCAAAAGCGAATTACAGTGCGATTCCACAAGTCGCCCAGCGCCCGTATGTTTGGTTGAACACCTGTGAGTGTCTGCCTGTTTAGAATCCCTCACTGCAGCGACTTTGACACAAAAAGCTGCTGCGCCTGCAGATGGCAATCATCCGCAATCACGCTGGTTCGCCGATTGGCGGCACGACGCAGCAACTCTGGCAGCTCCTCGCCAAGACAAGGCGAAGCTGGGGCCACTGTCGGCTTCGACGTGCGACCAAAGCACAGATGCCAGAAGATCGCGTGCACGGCGGAAAGTCCAGGCCTTCGCTTGTTTTCGTCGCTACCGTGGTGCGGGCTTCAAGACCTTCCGCGCTTTTGACCGTCACTTGCCTCGCTGGGCTTTCGGCTTTCAGCCTGCGACGCCAGGGCCGGAAGACTTGAATCTTCGACTGCTCTCATGCTCGCTCTGTGACACCTGTGAGGCACCTCCTCTGGAGTGCTGAAGGCTTTCAGCAAGCGCTCCGCAAAGAGTCGGCGACCCTGAAACGTACGTGGCTTCAAGATGCTTCAAGGGTCCTACGTCGTCCTACGCCTCGTTCCCAAGCGCATCGGAGCCAGACTCCGCCACCAGGGAGATCTGGGCCGGATTTCCACCCTTCGGTTCAGGCTGCGGCTGCGCTGAAACCTGCAGACACGAGGTGTGCAAACATATCGAGCCCTACATTGCTTACGTACCACTGATCGACTCCACGGTGCGAAAGCTGACTTTCTGAAACTGAGCCGTCATACAATCTCGCTGGCTCCAACATGATTCTACACTTCCGAGACTGTGCTTGTGTATGCACGGGACTGCAGGCTGACTTGCCCCATATAGTTCAACTCCTTCCATGTCCCAGTCTATCCGCTGCCTCGAGTAACCTGATAGTGTTTGTAGCTGTATAGCAACTGTAGCAACATGCCCTTGATCCTGAACACGAATTTTGCACGAGGGCATTTCATCCTCTGTACCCCCCACTTTCCGAAACGGAACTTTCCAGCTTCACAATGTGGGCTGAAATGGGGGTAGCTTCATGCGACAACACGCAAAAGCGACCGCTGATAAAAAAGGACCCACGAATGAGCGCAAGAAAATAGCTATGTATGTCAGCTGGGCACTGTGTCGCCTCTGAGCAGAAGGTGGCTCGGTGATGCAACCACTCAGCACCGAGAACCTCCGAAGCGGCGCTTGAGCACAGCACAGCAAAGAACTGCCAAGATCGGAGAAGCGAACTTTTGAGCCACCTGCTAACTGACAGAAAAGAGTCTCCCATATGATTCTTCCCATTGACTAGCAGTCCAGAGACGCAGCGCTTTGGTTGAGCTGCGCACGTTATAATGGTTCCCTATAAACCCTAAACCCTAAACCCTATTTATAACCCCTAAACCCTAAACCCTATTTATAAACCCTAAATCCTAAGGCATTAGCCTTACTTTGGCCTGGCCTGTAAGGTTTTGCCTTCTGCGTGCTGCCGGGCCCAGGTGGATTTGCCAGCCCCCGGAGGTCCGCACAAAATCACCGCCTGACGGAGGGGAAAACAGAGGTTGCATAGAGCTCTATATAGTAATATAACAATAGTATTAAAATATGGAACCCCCAACAGAGTATAGGGTTTTTATCAAGGACTCTATATTACCCTGCCCCCAACCAAACATCTCAAAAGAAACCCTCAAGGACCTTCGGAAGCATGAACAACTGAGGACTCAAGAGCCCCCTGCATCCCGTGGAACCTTCCAACACCCCAAAGCCTCCGGGATTGGAGCACACGGCAGACGTTGCGCCGGGCGCGTGTCAAGCAGCCTGAGTAGTGACATCACCCGGAAGCCGAGAGAAAGGTGAAGAAGAAACCTGAATCTGAAGTACTACCATGTTTGGCGGGGAGCTCCACTTCCACACCAGCCCGCAGCGCGAAGAACGGATAGTAGGCCTCGATCGAGCAAAGTCAAGGCCACATTCCACTACAAACCTGGCAGTATCGACACCCTGCATCCATCAAGGCAGAACAGCCTGAGTCTCATCAATCCCTGAATCCGAAATCTCCCAACACGCACATTCAGCTGTTTGGGCTTCTGGCCGTGTCCCGGAGCCGCTGTGAAGCGTGGCTTCCACGACCTGCTGTGTCTCTTCGTAGAGGAAGCCGCTTGGCCTCAGGAGCAGCTACGCGAGCTCCTTCGACTGATGCAGAAAACTTCTGCAGCGCGCCTCGCCCTCTACCTTGTCATCGCCTGGACATGGCAGTTTGTCTCGAGTTATTCGAAGCCTCGTATAGCTTCAGGAGGCCTCCATAAACCAGAAGCAGTGTAAACGCGCGAGACCCGTGAGAAGACCCTCCGGCCTTCGAGGCGAAAACAGAGTCGTCTCATGTCGAGGTCCATGATTACTTCGATGAGATCCTGAACCTGCCGACTGTCAGCGTCGCCGACACTATAGTACTATAGTCGCGCAGCGAAACAGAGTGACGATAGACCACCGTGAACCCAGACATGGAGGAAAGTAGCAAACAGATGAGGTAAGACGAACGGATCAGTCTTGATCAAGACAACGTTGACTAATTAATCCTTCCCCGCTGTGTAAGAATAAACCCCAAACCCTCCCTAATATCGAAACCCGAAAAGCAGGGCCGAGTTGTAAGAGCAGGGGGGGGTTCGGGCAGCCGGGTATGGGTCAGTCAGATAGAAAAACAATTAAAGCGATAGCTAGATTAGACACAGAATAAATAGATAGATAGGTACTTGGGTAGGTAGAGAGATGACCAGGTAGATAAAGACACAACAACCAGCAGTCATGCAGCTGTTGCGGCTTTTAGAGCAGCCATTAGCGTTCAGCTTCAAAGACACCTGAAGCACTAAGCCCTTAGCCCTGAACCCTAAAGCCCCAAGCCTAAGCCATAAGCCCTAAACCTTATGCCCTAAACTTTATAAGCTCCCGAGCCCTAAATCCCTGAGCTTTACTCGCCCCAGTCCTTTTGGTGTACAGTCCTAACTCCCCTCCTAATACTCTTAAATAACTTTCAATGTGTGGGCCCCCCACAAAATTCACGGGTCGGGGGAGTTTTAATATTCGGGGAGGCTTTACAGTAGTTAGGGGAACGGGATTGGCTCGTCCGTCTTTTCCCTCCCCTACCTTCAAGGCACGCGGCAACAACGGAGCTCGGAGCAGGGCAGAGGAAAGATTCGAGGAAAAGAGCTGCTCTCCGGTGTCCTTACGGTCACAGTCGCCGACAAGTTGTGTGCACGAAGAGAGGGAGGGAGGGAGAGAGAGATGGAGGTACCTCGCCGCAATGACGATTCGTACTTCACTTGCAACGGCATCGATAAGACCAAGAGACCGTGAGCAGGGCCAGGGCTGGCTGTTGCGCTGAGGAGCCCTGCAGTTGCGATCACAGAGCCCCAAGAAGAAGAGGCAAGAAAAGATGGCAGCAAGTCTCTGGGCCTCTGGGCTGGGCATCGGATGGCAGCCTGGCCACTGGGCCAGTACCCCAAAGAGGAGCGAGACAGAGGTCGAAGCCGAGGGAAGTCGGAGGATGCGAAGCCTCCATTTCTGCCGGCCCTGATACGCTGCATGCGCTCCTCGGCCCAATGCCCAGACCTCGGGCGTGGCTGTTTTCACCACCAAGCCGCGTCCAGTGCAGGGGATCTCCTCCAGCAGCAGGTCACTCAAGGACCAGTCCAAGGCCAAAGCTGTAGCCGCACCGGCGCCTTCTGTGGTTGGGGCCTCCGGCGGTGGTCTGTCGGTGTGCACTTGCTCTTGCTCGCCGTCGCAGGAGGCTTCCTCTCTGCTCTCCTCATCGCTTTCTTCGGGGTCGGCGAAGGCGAGGAAGCCGTCATTAAGGGCCTCTTCGGCCTCTCCTGCGAGGCGCTTGGGCCGGCGTTTTCTCGGGCTGTCCATCGGCTGCGCCCCTGCAGGCTGTGCAGCCTGGTCGACCTGTGGCCGGAGATCTCCATGAACTCTGGCAAATCAAGGAAGGCCATGGGAGCGAAGTGCACCGGCAGCTAGGAGCCACTCCGTCTGAATTTTGTAAGGTCGCCTGGCGTGGATCGGGCTCTGCAAGTGTAGTTTTAGTTGCCCCAACTTTCGCCTCTGATTCTCGCTCTCTCTCTCACACACACACACATCATGTTGCATCAGCTGCGGATCGTGATTGATTGTTGTGGTCTCAGCTTGAAGCCCAGTTGTAGTGTGCACACAGCAGTGCCGGGCACAGGATGGAGGGCACCGTCTTCACGTTCCTTTCCAGGACTTCGCGGCATCGCCGCAGCTGGGTCCCTGCCTGAGTCGGAGCTCTCACCTCCTGTGCAGTGACTGCAATGGCCAGCGACAAACATTTGGCTCGTGGCCTGCGTGAGCTCAAACTTCTTCATGAAGTCTGCCGCTTGCTTCCTGGGACAGACACAGCTCTGCTGCAGCAAGTCTATGCGATCTGTGTGCTAGCAAGGCACGTGAGTGCAATCGGCGCGAGGTCGGGATTCTTCAACATCATCTGTCACAGGAGACGGTCAACGGTCTGAGTCAGTGATAAGGGAGCACTCATGTCCCTTCGATTCGTGCGACTCGCACCCTTGTGCGGCCTCCTCACTTGGCACGTTCATCTCGGAGATCGCGCTCTCCAAACGTCTCTTCGCCATCATCCAGTTTGCCTCCGGCAGCAAAGCGCTGGGAGGGGAGGAGTCCCTGCAGGACTCGATCCCAGGCCTTCTTCATCTCGCAGAGGCCGCAGCCTGCGACAGGGGAGTCTCGCAAGGAAAAATGCCTCTCCCTCTCAGACCCTTTTCAAATTCTCCTATCAGAGACGGCCCTGCCTAGGAGAGTGCGAGCTCGATAGTTGGAGGCGCTGGAGTCGCCTGGCAGCTTGCAACGGTTGGGATCTCGCAGAGAAAAAAAAGAAGGGACGCTGTTTGGCCTTTCCCAACCATTGCTTTCAGCAGCTTCTGCAAAGGCAAAGGAGATCGAATCACGCGAGAAAAGGAACGGGGGGTGTAAACAGTTGGTTTTCCGAGCCTCGCGGCTTTCGCAAGCTGCATCACTGTGTGGGTTCTCATCATTTTCGATGTCGTTGAAGAGATCCTGGTCACGGCCCCGGCAAGCTCAATTCGAACAGCTCAATCTCACACCAGTATGGCTAACGCAAACTTTGGCGCACCCCACGCAATGCTTCCGTTTACAGCATGACCCACCGCGACATCAGAAAGAGATGAAGCTCACCCCCAGCCTTTCCATCATCATCCAGCCATTTAGGCGCTTCCATTTTCTGCCTGTCCGCAACATGAAGTGTTGGAGAAAGGCTATCAAACCTCAATGTCCCAGGCTTTTGTGCTGCTGAGTCACGGCCTCTGCCCCTCAGGATCAAGGAGTCAATAGCCAGCCCGAACCCAGGCAAAAACTAATCTCACGAAATATAACGACATGTTTGTGAGCTCCTGAGCACTTGCCAGGGTGAAGACGAAGGGTGCCGGAAGCAGCCATGCCTGGGGCACAGAATCACATGTTCTTATGTGGAGCTCAGAAACACGAGGAGAGTCCGCCGGGTTCCGTGCCAGATTGCGCATGTCCCTTCCCCTCGGGCCGGCCCGTTGCGCTCCTACGGCTCTTGCCCTGAAACAAACAGCTGAGGCACACGGCAAAATGCCGGCTTTGGGCATGTCGCCAACAAGACTTCGCTACTGTCTTCTTGTCGATCATCCCTGCCTCAGCATGCAGCAGCAACGAGCGTGTTGTCATCAAGAGTCGGCAGCACCTTGGACCTCTTTTTGTCAGCCAAAAGGGTACATCTCTCCGCCGCAATGCAGGCTCTGGCGCATCTGGAGATGTTAAACTCATCCTTCGGACATTTCCGGCCTCGCCCAAATTCCTCTTGCTCAAAAGATGGGCCTTCCAAGCTTAGTGTTGGAACGCCACTGGAAAACCTTATGCAGCTGCTTTCTGGTCGGCGCTGCGATAAACAATTGGATGCAAGGCGCTCTAGGCGCTGCCTGCAATTATCAGTATGCATAAAAACCGGGTTTAAGAGATTAAAGAGTTGAGCCCGCATGCGGAAAGCAAAGCGGGAGGCGTTCCAAGACCGGCCCCAGAAGCTGAGCCAAAGTTCCCAGACACGGCTCTTGAGCTCCGCCGCTCCGTTTCTTAGCCATCTTTCTTTAGCAGCTGTTCCAAAGCCCGAAGCTTCTCGAACTCTGCTTGACCTGCAAGGGAGGGACGAAGGGACACAGGGGCAGACGGCAGACTTCTTTTCCCTGGCTCTTTCTTATCTTTCTTGTACGCAGGGCACCAAAACTTGAAACCTCAAACCACCACGCCTCTGGTGCTTCCAAGCAGGGTCGGGCCACTCTGGGTTTCAATCCAGCACGGCTCTGTCGCACGGAGCCTCTGACGAAGCACCGCAAGATCTCTGCGCTCACCTTCGATGGGCTGTGAAGCAGTGCTGCATTGCTCTATAGGTGCGCAGCCTTGAGGCACTGCCTTAAGTGTCAGACAGAAGATTTACTCAGGCTCAGATCCTACGAAATTAATTAGTCGTTTCAGAAGTAGTGTATCAATCTCCCCGGAATCTCCCGCCTCGCCTGTCTCTGTCATGTCGTCGCGCAAGGCTTCCCAACCTTCAATCAAGCCCGCACCTGGGTGCCTCTCATCTGCATCCTCGTAGTGCCACCAAACAGCTGGGCATCCGTCATCACCTTCCGCAATGCCTGGCAGGGATGTCTTTGTGTGTGTGTGTAGGCGCTTGTTTCGACCGGTGCCTATGAGCGTGAGTCGGGCATCTGGGCGTGCCGCGTGCTTCACCACCGTTCCCGGCTCCCAGCCCGTAATCTTCTTCACCAAGTCAGGTCTGACATCAAAACCAGCATCGGCTCGCACGCGACTTGTCCCGCAAGGAAAGGTGAAGTCACAACACAGCTGCCCCCGAAGTTCACGCAGCGAGGTCCGGATGCTTTCGGGATCGAGGCCCGCATCAGAGTCAGCTGCCATTGGCTCCACCGGCCTAGTTCCCACAACAGTGTATCTGCTCAGCTCTCGGAAGTGTCGTTTGTTGACACCTGCCCCTTCCGAACCTTCGACGTGAAACCACAGTTCGGCGATGCTTCCAGTAACACGGTTCCCGCGTTTCTCATGTCCGGCTTGTGCCAACACTGCGTGTTTGGGATCCTGTGCGACTCCGATACATGTCATCTTCTCGCCATCTCTCTTGTCTTGGAGCACGTCCCCTGACTTGTAAGGCACCCTGAACTTCGCAATCATGTCCTGCCTGGTGTCAAGAACCATCAGACGACCAGTCCTCGTTTTGTACCGCAAGGTGGGCTGGAGGTTGCATGCAACCCAGTCTCGTTCGTCATGATCGATTTCTCCATCAGAAGCCCCTTCAACATCCTCCCGCATAACTTCCTGGACATGCCTTTGGCTGATCTTGTGCAAGGATGTGTCCAGGTCTTGGTCACCGTGTTTTCCAGCTCCTTCCGCACCATCAACATGAAAGTACATGGAAGCCCTCTTTTCCGAGGAGTCCCACTTGAGGCCGATGCACGTGCTGGTTCTTCCATTTTGATCCGTGACAACATCCCCATGCTCAAACTCAGCAACCTTCTTGCAGGCCTCTGGTCGAATGTCGAACTTGGCATAGTGAGCATATTTGGGCCCACTGCGATATCCAAAAGTACAACGCAGGTGGTGCTGCTGCAATTCTCCTTTCGGCACGTCTTCCAAGTCATGGGGCCGATCAGAACTGGGAGCGACCACTA